GTGTGTGTGTGTGTGTGTGTGTGTGTGTGTGTGTTGTCATATTCGCTATTCACTAAAAAAAAGCATGACTGTGCCCAACTGTTTCGTCGGACTTTCACCGACTCATCATCAGGAGGTTGAGCCCCGACAGTCCGCCCAGGATTCATTTGACTGGTGGATAAGCAAGGACTCACCACATCTCCCAGAGTTAGCGAGACCCATCCCTGAGAGAGAAAAGTGGTGGACTTTACTCAACACCACCAACCTTGCAATCCTAGCAGACTTGTCAAGCCCTTGACAAGAACCGTAGTAAGTCTGAGAAACTAATCTGACACAGTCATAAAACCCACTCATCCATATGTGTTGTCACAAGAGTATTGGAGCACAAATGCGAACAAAAAGGAAAAAAGAAAGAAAAACAGGAAAAACTGAATTCATTTTTTTTAAACAAGAAAAACTTAATTCATTTTTAATCTTCTCCCTTTTTCTTTTTTCTTTTTTTTGGGGTGTGTGTGTGTGTGTGTGTGTATGTGTGTGCACATGCTTTGGTGCTTCTCACCACATACACCAAAGGCAAAAACTATGGGGATGTATTTTCCCATGTACAGGCGGAAAATGCATTCTCATTTTCCACATGGAAAATGCATTCTCATTTTCCACATTTGGTGAGGTGGAGCACCGCCCAATGACGGCCACTCCTGAAACTCCTGGAAGATTGTCATCATTGCAGGACCCTTCTACACGGTTTTCAGAATTCCTCAAAAAAGCTTCCAAATGGTGCCACAGCCGCACCGTGCTGCACAAACCAAACTCGCGCTAGTGGGACTTGGCCCCGGATGTACTTGTGCGCCTACGACCGGTTACACTTAGGTGCCCCTTGTACATAGATAGATTGGACAAATTAAGAAAGGGCTCTGCGCGAACTCAGGGCAGAGCAATCGACAACTGGAGGGTCTGCTCGCTCTGGGAAAAAATGGGGAGGGTTTTGTTTTTTTACAAAAATGGGGAGTTTGAGGGGCAAACATGCCGTTACCCCTCTCCACCGAGAGAGGTAACCTCCCTTCACCGAAGAGAAGTGGAAAGCTATGCTTGCAGGGGTCCCCTGTATAGCCTTAGGAGTAGTGTGAGGTAGGTAGGTTCTGAAAAGAAAGAAAAGATATGTTCCATGATGACATGGCAGAACGCCAGTTAAAAGATATGCGAGGTGAGAGAAAAAAAAAGCTCATCTTAGACAGCCGCCAAAGGCGAAAACAAAAGACAACTTTATCGAGACGATATCCATCTGCTGGGCGCCAAGCTACGGGTGCCAGTAGCAGCACGCAACAAGGTTCACCTCCGAAGTCGCTTCTTTGTCCAGTGCAGAGCTCAGCCAAAAGGTAATTCCCGCCGCGCTGTTTCACGCATCCGTGCATGCATAGGAACGCCAAACACGTACACATGCATGCACATATGTCGGTACATCCGCTGCTTTGGGCATCCGTTCCACTTGTAAATTTGTGTGGGTATGTGTTTGTGGTGCTGTGCTTCAGTGAGAGAGAGAGAGGTGGGGGCGTGTGAGAATTATGCGTGCCAGAGAGGTGCATGAGAGAGAGGTGCGTGAGAGCGAGAGAGAGAGAGAGGGAGGGAGGTGCGTGTGTTGTGATGCTGCGTGTGTAAGAATTTGTGCGTGTGTTGTGATGCTGCGTGTGTAAGAATTTGTGCGTGTGAGAGCCGGTTAATTAACAAACACGATGGCAAACGTTTCGGAATCACACAGCGATTGAGGGCTCTGAGCAAGTGTGCGACAGGGCTGTGCAATCTGTATGCCCTTCGAGCAAGCGTGCGACACGCAAAATTTTCTTAGGTTGCTCGACGACCTTCTTCGACATCGCGGTGCCAACGTATCCAACTGCGCATGCATGCAGTTTCCTCCGACTGCATACTGCGACCGAGGAATTGACTACTGAAGATGGTAATTTCTCTCTCTCTCTCTCTCTCTCTCTCTCTCTCTCTCTCTCTCTCTCTCTCTCTCTCTCTCTCTCTCTCT